TGATCCTGTTTCGCCGCTGCTTTTCGTGCTTGTCATGGAGTACTTGACCCGGAGTTTTAAGAAGATAGTCAAACAACCTTGGTTTAAATTTCACCCCCTGTGTGCTTCTCTTAAGCTATCCAATGTATGTTTTGCAGATGACCTAATGGTTTTCTGTAAAGCTGACAGGGCAACTATTTCAGGTATCAAGTCTGTGCTGATGGCATTCTCTAAGGTGACTGGATTGGAAGCCAATGTTCAGAAGTCAGAAATCTACTTTGGAGGCGTAAACTGTCACCAACTGCAGGAATTCTGTGATCTGACATGCTTCAAAAAAGATACCTTTCATAAGAAATGGTCCAAGATTGAATGTCAAGAGATTATCAACAGAATGGTGGCTAGGGTACGTTGCTGGAGCACTAGGCACCTGTCCTATGCTGGCAGGGTGCAGTTGATTAACTCTGTTCTATTATCTATGCATGTATATTGGAGTTCTATCTTTATCTTGCCTCAAAGTATTATTAATGCTGTCAACAGAATATGTAGAGAGTTTTTATGGGGAGTTAAAAGTAGTGGCAGGGCAATATGTCTAGTTAAATGGGAAAATGTATGTCAGAAAAAGTCAGAAGGAGGGTTAGGAATATGGGATATTAAAGCCTGGAACAGAGCTGCCATACCAAAGCAGATCTGGTGCTTGACGCAGAAAACTGACAGTTTATGGATCAAATGGATTCACTCTGTCTATTTGTCAAAAACTGATTTATGGAATGCACTGCCTAAGCTAGATAGCAGTTGGCACTGGAAACAGATTCTGAAAGTGAGGGATCTTGCTAGGGCTGGGTTTGATGGTAATAGATGGAAAGGTGATGTTAATAGTGACTACTCAATCAGTGCTGGGTATAATTGGTTGAGGGGCAGCAAAGAAAAATGGAAGGGATCACAATGTGTATGGTCATCTTTATCATTGCCTAAACATGCTTTCATTAGTTGGCTTGTTTGGAGGCAAAGAATTTTGACTAGAGACATGTTAAAGGACATGAATGCTCCTATAGCAGATTCTTTATGTGTTTTATGTGCTACAGATGAAGAATCAGTTCATCATCTGTTTTTTGAATGTTCTTATGCATATGAGGTTCTAGTGCAAATTCAAAACTGGTTAGGAAGTAGAAGGTTGGACAGGAGATTGGATAGATGGCAGACACAGCTACTGCAACTTTGGAAAGGTGCTAAGTTGAAGAGGGCTATACTCTGCTCAGCAGTTAATGCAGTACTGTATCATGTTTGGGAAGAACGGAATAGGAGGATGTTTACAGGAGTGACAAGACAAGGTTCAGACTTGATGAAGTTGGTTCAGTATGAGTTAAAAATTAGAATTCTAGGAAGGCATAGAAGACCCTGGTCTAATGAAGAAAGAAGAATTTTGGAAAACTATTCTTTGTGCTAGATTTTCCTTTGCTTGCATGTATATTGATGTATATATTTAGTTTAGAAAGTTTTGTCAGAAAGGAAGTTGTAAACTGGTGACTATAGTATGCTTTCATGCTCAATTTTTCAATAGAATTAACTTTTCACCAATAATAATAATAATAATAATAATAATAATAATAATAATAATACCACGATTTTATGAAATTTTTTTTTATATGTATTTATGGCCCCAGGTATGAATTCATTCTAGATTCGCTACTGCCTCGGGATCGAATCAAGAAACACAGATTGGTGGGAATTGATTCTGACTGCAGATATAATACGATGGTCAAGAACATGGAATTATGGAAGGAGATGGTCAAATGGATCCGATAAAGGGTTAAAATGTTGCTTGAGGGGCAAGTTAAACATGCAGGATCCAAACAAGTCCTTAAGGGATCTGGTATGCTACTGAAGTAACTTGACCCCACGTCATAGAATCGGAATGAAGTATAAGGTTTATTCGACGTACAGTATGATTTTTCCTGCCATTTTGTCAATGTTGTTGAAGGGATTATACACGTGCTTCGGGAACGGTAAGGGGCGCACAAATAAATACCATAGGATTCAGGAGGATATATAAGATTTCAGAAGGACCATATTGTGGAGTGAGTTAATATGGTGTATACACTTCTCAGCAAGCGTCAATTGCGTTGGTTCGTCAACAACGGAAGACGGGAAGAGTCGACAGCTGGGTCTATCCTCGGTTTCTGACAAGGAATAGCTCGCCGGGGATTGAAGATTGATACGCTAATTCAGTTCATGCTTGATCTCTAAGAATCTTCACCTAATGGAATAGACACACAGTAATTATTACCACCAAAGAGCCCTGTTGATATTGCCTAAATGGTCCGGATGATCTTTTTGTCCGAATCATTACAAAGCATAAGAAGTATTTAGGCGCTGGAGATGAAGCCACGACTTACACGAAAAACATATGGATCGATTAGAATGGCGCGAAATTGTCACACTAATGGATTGGGGTAATGCTGTTATTAAAAGTATTGATAGGGACCAGCAGGAAGCCGGATCTAGTGTGACAACACTTACTGGAGTTTTGAATCTTGACAGATCAGCGAAGGCTATAAAGTTGAAGCTGACATGGAAGATATGGATGATCTCGTGACGCTCTCTTTGGTTTATTTTGATTACCTGATTACAAAGAAGAAGGTGGAAAAGGATGGCGATTTCGTGAATTTGGTTAATCCAGGACTAAAATGGAGCTGAAGGCACTTGGGGATTCAAACATGCGGAATCTGAAGAGAGAGGAGATATTGTGCAGCTGGAGAGAAAGCGCTACTTTAGATGCGATGTTCCTTTCATCAGGCCTTCAAAACCCATTGTTATGTTTGCTATCCCAGATGGCAAGCAAAGTAAGCTATCGAAGTTCAACAACACATGATCATCAAAAACATCAGTGTCTTATGTAGCTTGAGAGAGTGTATGAATCGGGCATGTAATCTAGGTCATCCGTGACATTTCTAAGTTGTGTATATGTAACATTAAAGTCTATGTTGATTTATGATTACATAAAATTTTCAGTATTGAGTACGTATTTCATAATGATCACGGGTCAAAATCCAATTGGAGTGTTCTTATTCTTGAAAGTAGCTAGTGTTCTATTTATTTTTATTCTTTTTGTACAATTATTAGGATGTACAACAAACTAAGTCTCGTCTCACTAAATAGTTGCACAACTAGTTCCTAGAATATACAATTCCCGTAATTTCGTGTGACACAAAAACCTAAAATTTTTTTAAGGTTTCTGAATTTTGTTTAAAATCGCTTGAAAAGAATTTAGATTCTTAGGATGTAATAACATTTACATTCTTATTAGGAATAAAATCACTTGCTCAGATTACTTTATCATATGATGAAACGTCTTCTAATGAAATTGAAAGAATACAGGAAGTAGTTTCTGATGTAAATTATTGAACATACTTTCAACAGTAAAATATAATTAATTTATTATGTCGCAAATGTGCGCTTGATGAAAGTTTTGTTTCATACACACTTCTTAAATTTCAATACAGGTTAAATGTTATAAAATTTAGTATTTTATTCATTAGCTGATTACAGTGATTATGACTCAAATCACTCGCTCTATTCATAAAATCGAATTTAATACAATTTGTTACGAGATTAAAACTATACAAATAAATATGACTCTTTTGTTGAGAGAGCGGCAGAGAAAATTCTCCGTATCTATTCGTTCTTCGTATTGAGAGGTTGGCTCATATTATAAATTGCTCGGTTGAGAGTGGGGATTGGAAAGCAATAGGTATTGGTAGGAGTAATGTAGCGGTGTCACATTTACTCTTTGCTGATGACTTATTGTTGTTCCTGGAAGCTGAGGGGGAGCAAGCTTCTCTTGTTAAGTCGGTTCTGGAGGTTTTTTGTGGGGCATGAGGCTAAAAAGTTAGTGCGGCTAAAACAAGAGTTTTCTTTTCAAAAAATGTGGATGTCTCCACATAGCAAACCTTAGCTGGTGTAATGGGCTTTACTATAGTTGATAATCTTGGCAAGTATCTTGGTATGCCACTTATATATGAGCGAGTGAATAAAAAACACATATGACGGGATTTTGGAGAAAGTGGAAGGTCGCATCTTCACTTTCACTCGCTGGTAGGGTGGTGCTTGCTCAATCCGTAGTGAGTACGATGCCCTTTTATGCTATGCAGATGGCTTGACTACCGCGGTCGCTGTGTGATGGGATTGAAAAACGGTGCAGGAACTTTATTTGGGGTGGCTCTGATAATAGTCGCAAAGAGAGTCTCGTTAATTGGGAAGGACTGTGTAAGTCGAAGGATGCTGGGGGATTGGGATTAAAAAATCAGCAGCTTTGTTAATGAAGTTGGGTTGGGGCCTTTTCAAAATGTCCGAAGCTCTTTGGGTTAGAGTTATGAAGGCCAAATACCATTTGGACCTGGCGGGAATGCATGAGAACTTTGTTTTCCCCAAAGATTCGGTTGTTCTTCGAGCCATTAGTAGAGTATGGTGTCATGTGGTGAATATTGGTTTGCACGGGATCATCATTGCAAATGGCTTGGAGGTTTTGCAATGAATATTGGTTTTTGTACGATCATGGGTGCTGAGTTATGGGGAATCTTCCAGGGCTTACATTTGGCGTGGGAGATGGTTTTCGCCGTGTTTTATTGGAGTCTGACAGCCAGAGCGTGGTGAATCTTCTGTTGAATGGGGGAGAAGTCAGTAGTATACACAGAAGTTCGGTTATGGCCATCCGGAAGCAGCAGAACTGGAGCTTGGAAGTCCAAGTTGTTCATGTGTTTCGTGAGGCAAATTTTGTTGCTGATTTTCTGGCATCGTTCGTGTTCTTGGGAAGTACTGGTTTGTTACGATTGTATGATCCCCCCTCAGGTGTTATTCCTTGGCTAGAACATGACACAATTGGTGTCTCCTATCCAAGGAAGATTTTAGTCATCTAATTTAGGCTTATGCCTCCTTTCATTGTACCAAAAAAAATAAAAAATTGCGGAAGAAACATAAATAACGGAAAATACATGAATTACTTAAGAAAAAAGTTGGAAACAAAACAGTTGTACTATGAAAGTGAAAAACGAAACTAAACTAAATTGCTTGATTTCTTGTTGAACCCAAAAATCACAATAAACAAAAATCTACAGTGTATTAGAAAGCAACTCACAAAAACAAAACAAAAAATAAATACAAAAAGAAGAAATGAGCACAACAAATTAAGATAGTACAAATAATATCTATAAATATACCAGAGATTTTCATCATTTTTTTTCAAAAAAACAAATCACTATGCTCATCCTTGATCCCCAGTCTCTCTGTATATAATAAAAATAACTTTTTTTTTTTCCTTTTGATCTCTTATTATTATTATTATCATTGCCTTAATTATTACTTTTTTGTGTTTTTTTTTGAATTTTTTTTAATGGGACATAAATATATATTTCAAGTGATTAGCCCCACCATTGGTGCACTGCAATGCCCTCATCCCTCAAACTTCCATACAAAGCCAAGCATTCCCAATATGCCCTTCTACTTCTTTGAATTCCCTTCTTTATACCCCTGTGCTTACACTCCAAGAACAATTCATCCACCAAGTTTATTGCTTTGCTCCTTACCAAATCCTCCACAACTTCAGCTTCAGCTTTCATCACCACATATTCATTCTCCTTCACATTCTTCCTTAGCCAATCCGACATCCCGATTTCCGCCACCTCTTTTTCCGATGGTTCTTCCGTCACAGTCTCAATCTTGTACATATCGAATTTCGTGTTCTTCGTCGGGTAATTCTTCGAAAACCAGCTCGAATCTCCGTCGTTCTTATCCGGCAATCCAACGTCAATGAACACCCTTCTCGGGTAGCTCTCCAGAGAAAACCCGATCAAGTCGGGTAAGTACCGGGTCCTTTTCCGGTAGGTGCTGGATTTTCCGGACGCCGCCCTTGGTGGTTCGAGTAATACGTCTTCTAGATTGTTCAGGGCTTTCTTCTTGACTTCAGTTGTTAGCCCTAATAATCGCCTGGCGGTGGATTTGCCACCGGAAGAAGAAGGATTTGGAGTTCGCCGGCGGTTGGTCATTTTCTTCAGGGCAACGACGGTGGAATCGAATCCTCTGAGATAAACGATCTTGTAATTGGATAGTTTTTGAAATGAGACCGCCGGGTTATCGCTGAGTTGGAAGGCGACAACGCCGTCTTTCTTGAGAGTCCGTTCGATTAGATCCGATGAAGACAGGAAATCAGCGACGAACATGAAATCATATGTCTCGTCCGAGATCAGATTCTCCTGGTTTTCCGAATAGGAGAAAGAAATCATATCCATTTTGAAATCCGTGATGACCCGGGTCTTGAATATGGTGTCAGCTTCTTCTTCGCCGCCGTTGGTTACAACAAGAGCTCTGTTGCCCATCTTCAGAAGGCCTTCGTTGGCCAAATCGTGAAACAGAGCCGGAAACAGCTCGCTGTTGATGGGATCCGAGGAGGAGGACGAGGACCCGGAATCGGAAACATGGTCGCCGGAAACCTTGTCGGCGGCGGAGGCCGCCATCACGACGTCGGAGATGGTGGTGTTGAGCCAAGGAAGTGAAACAATGACTAATGCCAGAAACAGAGCAGGGGTGGTTAGTTTCAGAACCCAAGTGCTAGGCATCCTGATGATAACAAATTGGAATTCATCAATGTTGTTGTGCAAATTCTTCCTCAATTTGTGGTGTTTATTCTTGCCATGAATTCCATACAACAAATTCATGGCTTTGGAATTCATGATCTCTCTCAGTTGTTTTGGTAAGGAACAACCAAAAAAACAGAACAAAGGGTACGTATAATGTATAAACAAGGAAATTAATTTAACTAAAAATCAATTTTGAGTAGAAAATCAGATCAAGATTGCTTGGGGAGGAAAAAATTGAAAAACTAATGAATCAGATTATAACAACAGAAATTTTGGAGAAAGGGAGAGGGAAGAAACGCAAAAGAGGGCAAAGCAGATTAGCGGGTGCAAAATCGGGCGGCGGTGTGATTCCCACCCACAAGGGAAACACGATTACTTTGCCTCCTTGAGCACAATAATAACAGTTCTTGAATTCTCTGAACCTCCATTTCCTAACTCTACAATTGTTCTTATTTCTTCTAAGGTTTCCAGATCGATGTACTTTTGTGTTTTGCAATCATTAACCCACTTTGATGATTTCACTCATTGTTTTCCTTCATCTTGGTTTAGCGACCCATTTGAATGAAATTCATCAACGTTGTACTGAATCGATCTTTACTTAGAAGGGGAATATGGAGGTGTCAGAGAATTTTTTTTAACTACACAAATAAAAAAGAAAAAAAAAGGCTCTAATTTTATGTACTATTTTTATGTGTTTTTGTTTTTCTGTCTAAATTTATGTTTTTTGAGGGTTGGAGATGTTAAATCTATATTACAAGAAGAAGGGAAAGATTTGAGAGAATGGAAGAGATTTTCATGGAACAAAAAGTGGTCTAGAAAAAAAAGAGGATTATTCCCTTGTTTCTTTTTGAAATTTGGTTGGCCATGCAACATTATCTCCTTTGTTGATGAATGTAAACCTACGATATCAATATATATATATATATATATATATATATATATGTTTTTTCATCTAAAAGTAACTCTGGAAATATAGTTGTTTAGGTCTTTAGGATAGGGACTAAATAAATAAGCATTTAGATTTTGAAAGAATAACTTCCCATTAATGCTAGCTACAACAACTATATATACGTTATAAAATAAATATAAAGAACTGTAGAGAAAGAACAATAGATGAAGAGAACAAGTTAAGAGGAAGAAAGAGAGAATGATCTATGTGCATTATTTGGTGGAGAGTGATCTCTTTTTATATACAAAAGATACAAGGATAAAAGCAAGTAATGATAAGATGTAACCATGATAATATCTAACTAAATATTATCTCTGAACAGTTGATTCCTTGTATAACTCTTCTATCTTGTGAACATCTACACCAATAAATATGTATAGGCTTTTAGTTTACTCACTTTTGATTTTGGCGGCTCATAATGGGGAGTGGGGCGTGGGGCAAAAAAGAAGAAAACGGAAGGGAAAGAAAAAAAAAAACTCAACATTTTTGGGGGGGGGGGGAATTGGTTAGAAAAGGAAATCTGGATAATCCGGTCGCACCGATCCATGGTCCAAACATGAGTCTTAACTGATTCAATTTCAGGTTTGTTTGTGACCGGATCTCTCTATGGACCAGTTTCCACTTTAATCGGTCAAACCAGGTAGTCTGGTCCGGACTACCAACACCGATATATAGAGTAAATGTGAAGAAGCCGAAACCGTAATCGAACTTCTGTTTTTTTTTAGGTGAACCAAGACGATACCAGGGGAGCATCCCCCTAATTTTATTAATTAAAAGGTATAAGTACAAAAAGCAGTGCTTAAAACTTACCCAATTCAGAATAGAGTCCGTCTTACAGATGCTTTTACTAAAAACCCCATGACGGTTCTCAAACAAATACGACTATGAACTGACTTGTAAAGATAGTTCTAAACTATCCCTTGCCAGTTCTTGCTTGAATAAATTAGAAAAATTCATAAGAGAATGTCTTATAAAGATTAAAACATAAATCCCATGACATCTCTTTCTTAACCTTAAATCTATTATAAAACTACCTAACTCTTACATATGGAAAGCTATTCCTATCTAGGAAAATTTTACCTCTCAATGAGATTGGGAGATCAATCTGATTGTGATACCTCAATGTGCTTTCCAATGAGGCAGTTCTTGCTAACTTATCTGCAACACTATTTACCTATCGATAAATATGTGCTATTTGTGAATTGGTATTTCTCATTTTTAGCTGAACTTGTATCAATAGCGTATACTGCTTTCAAAGAAAGCCTTTCCCTATCTGTAACTGTATCACAAGGCTTTCATTATCCGACTGGATTGTTACTTGTTGAAATCCTCTTTGCTCGCATGCTTCAAGATCATGATAAATTACAGCTAACTCCGCTTCATAACTTGCAGCAATGCCCATGGGCCTGCATTCTGCAAATATAAAACTCCCACGCTCTCCTCTTATGATATATCCTCATCCTGCTTGTCCTGGTTGCCCTAGCGCTGAACTGTGTTGAGTACAACGTTAACTTGTCTCATCCCTAGAGGATTCCATCTCAAGATTTTCGTTGTCTTCCTTTGTGGCTTCAAAACCTTCACTTTGAATAATCTCTCTATCTCCTCGTGCTCTTCCAAGTTTCTAGCCTGCAAATTATGCATACTCAACATACTTGAAATGTTAGATAAAACCTCTTTTTTCAAAAAATCTGAAGAGAAAGTAAACCCATCATAGATGATTTCATTTCGCATCTTCCAAATTTGCCATAGTAGGAAAATTGGTGTGACCATTAGTATGCATTTTTTGGCTGTGATAAAACTTCACATCTTTTGCCACATTTGTAAACTATTCCACTACCTTGCATTTTCCGAGATTAGAATACCAAAGAATGAAGCAAAATATTTCCAAACTAGGCCTATATGCTGACAAGCATAAAAAACATGGTCCATTGTATCCTCAACTGCATGACAAAAGGGACATCATGAAGGGTTAACAACTAAACCCATTGCTTGCAAAGATTCTGAAAAAGGAAGTAAGCGATTAAAAAGCTTCCATGCAAAGAAAGAGATCTTTAAAGGAATAATCTTATGCCAAATATTTTTAAGGGGAAGAAATTCTTCTCTATGTTGGCGAGCTTCCTCATCTGCTGAAGCAATGGTAAAAGAACCCGTGGGGGTTGGCCTCCAAACCAATTTGTCCAGCTCATCCACAAATGGTGGATTGAGACTCCGCAGTTGCTCCACTTCTTGCTCTTCTATTAGACTTGCAAAAACAGTCAAGAAAAAATCTTTGGAAAATGAAAAAATCTTTTACAGTTAAGTCCGATACTGGAGGATCAACTGGATTGTTCCAAAGAATGCTAGAGTCCAGCCACTTATCATGCCAAAAGGAGGATGATCCATCACAAATGACTAGCGCGCTCCTTTGTGTTGCAAGATGATCAACTTTCTGAATCCGTGACCATCAGCTAGTCCTTTCTCTCAATGTGGTGGAGAGAGAACAAATAAATTTCGCCCAAATCCCTTGCTTGGTCTTCAACTTCCACCATAACTTCATGGAAAAGGCTTGAGAAACTTCCATTAAATTCCTGAGACCCAAACCGTTTTCAGCAAGAGGGAAGGTCACTTTACGCCAAGATTTCCAATGACGCTTGCTTCCAAATCCAGTTTCTCCCCAAAGAAAGTGTTGACATTTTCGCTCAATGCTTTCTATGATAGATTTTGGAGGAGAAATTGCAGTTATAGTGTGAATTGGAATTGCGGATGAGCAAAAGTCTTCCCCCTTGAGAAAGAAAAATATTTTTCCAACTCGACAATTTAGCATCAACGGCTTCAAGAAGATGGTAAAAATATTCTCCCGTTTTCCTTCCTTTAAAGAGCTTACACCCCAAATACATGAAGGGAAAGACTCCCCTTTGCATTTGCAATGTATCTTCAATCATGGCAATATGCTCATCACTACTCTTCGCGGACACTAAAAATGTACTCTTTTACTTATTCATCTTCTGCCCGGTTGCATCCTCATAATCTTGAAAGAAGATCATTAACTGCTGCATGGAATATTTCAAGCCTTTGGTGAAGACGATTAGGTCATCCGCGAAACGTAGATGGGATGGTATAACCGTTCTTGCCGGCGTTCCATATGTTGCAATTTTCCCCTCTTCAGTCAGCTTCTTCATATTTCTCATTAGAGCTTCAGGCAAAAGAATAAAGAGATATGGTGATAGGGGATCCTCTTGCTTTATACCCTGAGAAACTTGGAAAAATCCAACCGGACTTTCATTGATAAGTATAGAGAACCAGCTTCTAGAAAGATTACTCATCACCAAATTAACAAATTCTTGATGAAAACCAAACCTCAATAAAATATTTTGCAAGAAACTCCATGAGACCCGATCAAAAGCTTTCATCATGTCTACTTTCATAATGAGATTGCCTCCCCGAGTTTTCTGATCTAGGAATTGAATAAGGTCTTGAGAGAGAAGAATATCTCTTTATTGGTAAATTCTGATAACCGAAATCGAACTTCTTTCTCACAAGAAGAGATTGATAAATTTTGTTTAATTGTTAAAAATAAAAAGAAAAGAGAGAGATCGATAAATTTATATACCATTACAATGTTATGTTGGTGGGAGACATTGAGATAACATGATACTCTCTCTGTCCTAAAATTATTGTCTAATTTTAGTTTTTACTTTTAGTTCACTTTTGTATTATAAATGAAAATCCAAACTGGACAATAATTTTGGGACGGAGAGAGTATTTTAAAGCGATCTTGTTTTTAGCCCCAATTTGCATATGTAGTTATTGATATTTATAGTTGTGTCATCTTCAATTTTTTTTTTTTACTACTTAATTACAACCTTTGCCGAAATTTTTCAAGTAAAACATTTCAGAGCGTTAATTTTCTGGTGAGAAATATAATTATAGATGAATGAAAAGCACGTATGGTAAACTAAAGAAAGTTATGACGATTTAAATACATATGAAAAGAACTTTGAATTATATTTTAAATGAGTGATCGTTAGAAAATTCCGCGTTAACTTTCCTTCATCTACAAAATGCTTTCAAAAATTGAGCCGAGTTTTATATTTTACTGACTTCATATTTTTTTTGGGTTACAAATCACTAAGGTCTTGTTGGCCAACATTTTGTTTTTATTTTTATTTTAATTTTTTATTTGGCTTTGAGATGTGATTTAAAATGAGTGTTTATTTTCAAAGCCACCACCTTTACTACTCGAAGTCACATATTTTAAAATTAGACCATTTTACCCCTATAATTTTTTCAAATCAAATAATTTGACTAGAAAGAAAATTAAAAACAAATAGAATTTTTTTAAAAAAAAAAAATTGACCGACCGGACAGTCCACCTGTCCCGGGTTAACCGGAGACGCGCAAGGAACGCGTCCTCTTGTTCGTCCGAATGCGTTCATTGCGCGTCCTAGTTTAACCCGGGACGGGTGGATTACTCGGCCGGTTCCGGTTAGGTCCGATATGGTGAACCGGACCGGTCAGGCCCTTTTTTTTCTAAATTTTTTAAATTTTTTTAATTAAAAAATAGCAATATTTGTTATTTAGAAAAGTCTAAAAATTATATAATATCAATCGGATTCATTGCTATTTTTTTAATTTTTAAATTTTTTGTTGTAATTAGTTAATCTAGTTTTCAGGTCATTAAATTTATTAATAATTTATTATTTGAGTTACATTAAGTATCACCAATTTCCGTAGTACAAAAAATAGTTAATCTATTTACACATATATGTCACAATCTTTGTAGTACAATTATTATTTTTCATTATAAATATATAATTATTATTTTAACTAGAAA